TAATTTTTTTTTAGTTCATGTTTGATTATATTATTTATCTGCTAGACTAAATAAATGACACACAGTAGAAAAAGCTCTGAAAAAGCCCTCAGAAGAAGGGCAAAACACGTTGAAGATGCCTGCTTCCGAGGTCTGCAGTTTAACCGCTCCGATAAGGTTCCAGCAGGTAGTGGGATCTACTCCCAGCGTTTCTCTGCTTGAAGAACGCTTGAGAGCCTGCCTTTGTGCACGAGGCAGACGCTGTCGCCTTTGGAAAACCGAGCATCCCCTCTGCTACCTGGAGAGAAACTGCTGCTATTCGAGCTGATACTGTGGTCCTTAGTGATAAGTACCACATTTTTATTTGATTTTGTAAGAGTTCCTTATTTGGGGGGATTTTCTGTGCTGGGGCAATAAATGTAATAGTGTTACACTATATTCTGTTTCTTTTCTACTTCTTCTCCAAGGGACTTTTACTGACTTTTATTAACTCTTATAGACTTTGGACATTATTAGAGAAAACTGATGTTGCTTTTCTGATATAATTTTATTTTTTTGTATACCCTTATATAACTTTAAAGGGGAATATTCACTAAGCTCTGAAAATATCCATTTGCATTGTACCTCTAGAATTTGGGAAAATTCTTTGTTTGTTCCAGCAGCCAGTATTTACTGTGTACCATAGGTACTTTTTTCTGCACTTTGCCACTTTTTATATTGATAACGAATTTTAAGTGAAGCTGTCCGGTTAGACAGTCCACCAACAAAGACGCAGTTGAGTTGACTTATTTTTTTTTTTTTTTTTATGTGAAACATGCTAACTTTTATTTCTCAGCTAAGTGCACAGGTAACCCCTCACAGCTTACTGAGATCAATGACTATGTAAACCTTCCAGATATTAAGTGGAGTCAATTGCTGGATCAAACAAGTTACAAAACATTCAAGGCTGAAGATACAAAAGACATGTTTGGGTACATAGCATAACATACAAGCTATATGATCACCATTATTTCTGTAAGGGCTCTCACCAGCTGGCCAACATTAACTGGATAATTAACTAACTCAGTACCATTTAAAGCAGGGATAGGCAAGCTTCGGCAGCCAAAGCTATCGTATTTTGCGCTCCATAAGACGCACTTTTTTCCCCTCAAAAGTAAGAGGAAATGTCTGTGCGTCTTATGTAGCGAATGTAAAGCTTTACTTACCTGTCTTGGAGCGTGGGCCGGCAGCACAGCGCGCTCCGCGGTCCAGGAACTTCTATTTCAGGTTCCGGTTTCCGGCGGGACTGAAAGGAAGTGCACACTCAGTGGTTAAAAGGGTTAAAGAACACTATGGGACAGGGGAGGAGGGGTTAACAATCACTATGGGACAGAGGAAAGGGGGGTTAAAGATCATTATGGGACAGGGGAGAAAAAAAAATATTCTGAACAAACTGTCCCATAGTAAGAAACACTATGGAACAGTTTGTTCAGAATATTTTTTTTTCTGGGTTTCCTCCTCTAAAAACTAGGTGAGGTGCGTCTTATGGAGCGAAAAATATGGTAAATCACCCAGAATCTTCTAATAGCCAGAATATCTGGAGTGCTAAAGGTTACCTACACCTGATTTAGAGTGTAAGTTTCTTGTGCATTTCTGATCCCTACATACATTTACATTTATCTACATTAAATGTCAGCTGCCATTTGAGAGTCCAGTCTATCTAAATCCCAATGCAGCAAAGTAATATCCTGAGACTTATGAGATAAGTAAGTGGAGCAGAGTAGAAGAGTGGGTGAGACAGTTTACTTACAAGCGTAGTAAGAAAAAGGGTAGAGAGGTATAGGGAACCTATTAACCTATAAACATATAAATCTTGAAAATCAATAATATTCTCGCCCTGTCAAGAAATGACTCTGTCTCATGAGTGGCAAGATAGAAAATGCAAAAAAAAATAAAAATAAAAAAAAAAAATAGAGAATAAATAAAAACAAAAATAATAAAAAATAATAATTGTCTAAGAGATTTTGTTTCTCTTTAAAATAATCTCTCTTTATAAAATTGTAAATAAAATCATAATTAAAAATTAAATGTCCATCTTAAATCCAGCCTTATGAAATCACAGCAATTCAGCACAATCCTTCACCGTTTAGTAATATGCAGGAAGGGGTTAAAACACTAAAAAGTGTTTGAAAGATTTTTAGAGTATGTGAGCTTATAACTATAAAGATTACATCCAGTATAGTTAAATATAACATACTTTATTAGTAAAAGGATAATAATGAAAAATAGTGGAGTCAGTCAAAAGTTACACTACGTAAGAAGGTAGAATGTAACAAATTGTATCCAATAACAAAAAATGTACTTACCATAAATTCTTTTTTTTTCTTAATATGGTGGCAGTACCTGTGGGTTGTGCCTACTTAATTGGGACAAGCATCTGCAAGATAGGAGTTAATTAAAATTCCCTCCCCTTTATCCCATAAAGGGCTTCCCCTGGCAAACCCACCTCAGTCGAAGCAAGAAAAACACACCACACAAGTACAAGAAGTAAATTTTCAATTTTTTGGGAGTATTGTACTGCCACCATATTAAGAAAAAAAGAATTTACCGTAAGTAAAAATTAAATTTTTTCTGGCATATGGTGACAGTACCTGTGGGATATAGCAAGATTCAAATTGGGTGGGCATTACGCCACAACAGCTTGAAGCACCTTATGCCCAAATGAAGCTTCAGAGGATGAGAATACATCTAGCCTGCAGCCTGATGAAGGTGTTGAATGAAGCCACCTTGCAAATTCGGGCAAAGCGAGAGCCTTACAGGGGAAGGTACCAGCGCTAATATTCTGACAATGTAAAATATAACAGTATAGTAATTTAAATAATAGTTAGCTGCTATATCACCATATTCTCATCTTTAAACAACAAAGTATAATAGTGTATAGGTGAAGCGCTATATTTATATAGGTAAAACCAACAAAGAAAGTGGTCCGTGCAGTGGAGAGCAGAAATATAGGTACAAATACCTTAACTTGTCTTATATCAAATCACAATGGTTCATATGTCGTTCCTTAAAAACATAAGCAAACAAACCCAAACATAGTGCAAACTGTGATACAAAGGTAAGTATATATAAAGGAGATAATGAATTTCCCACTCACACTTTTAAGAGCTAGATATATATAGCTCAATAGAATCGCTTTCAGGGTCCGTAAAGGCAACCCTTTCCCTTCTTTAGTATGGATTCTTCTCTCTCTTGTATTCTATAATAGATAAGGGAGAGCGCATATGGTGCAATAACGTAGATCAAGTGTATTATGGTGAGTAAGGTAAATAGGGTACTTACAAACCTAGAGCCATCCACATCGGCTCTAATCCAATAGTGTATGTGGTTAAGGACCACAATCCTTCTTTTCAAATAGCAGGAACATGCCAATAGTGATTATAAAAAATATATAAACTTTATTGTGCTATTTTCAATAAAATATACATACAAAATATATAAGATTTCACTATATAGGCATAAAAGTCCAAGTCTGTTCCTCACAATGTTCCCAGGACGCGTTTCGCCTTGAAGGCTTCCTCAGCTAGATGTGGAAAAAGTATTTGCGTCTCCTCTTGAACTGGTTCCTCCTAGGGGTAGGCTGATTGTTTTCTGGCTTGTAATTTCGTGGGCAATCAATGGTGACGCCTAGCGTTTCAAGCCTCACTCCTTTGTTACTTACTGGTGTCTATGATGGTTCGTCGCTTCCGGTGTGCCGATACGTCACATTCATGCGTTCCAGCTTGCGGTTCATCTCCCTTACAGTGTGTCCGAACCGGCAAAGTTACAGGGATAATACAAGAAAACTAATTCCATATCAATGCATTTTATTTTATAACAATCCCGGTACAATTACAGAAGTAAAAGAAAATGTCTTCTATATCTATATGTTTAGTGGTCATTCTTATACTTCATATTTCGTTTCAAATCTTTTAAGTGAATGTTACTCTGTGTTCCGTTTCTAGGAGTACAAATTCTTTCTTTTGTATTCTTTATTAATAGCATGTCATACATTAACAGCTCTTATATGTTAAAAACTTCTAAATTGTGATACATGATCTGATTTTTTTTAATATAATGCATAGTTTGTTTCTAATTTCTTTCCATTAAAATATGTATTCTTATATATTGATATTTCCAATGTAATTATATGAGTACAGATATAGCATATTAAAATATGTGCTAACTGATAAAAATAGGGAATACAATGAAAAATTATGAAAAATTATGCTTGAAATATAAAAAAGATATTAATACAACTATAAATAGAAAGATATAAAAATACTTAATTAACAGAATGTGGAGTCTACAAGGGATACTCAAAATAACTAAAAACCTCTACAGGAGAGAATGTATTATGCATACTAGTAAAATTAACCCTAAAAAAGGGAGAGCAGTAAATAAGTATAAAAAAGGGAGTTCGGGAGGAGCAGAGCGGACGCGTTCCCCAGGAGCTCCGTACCAGATACAGCATAAACCTGCTTTTCTGGGCTAACAGGCAAAATTACCCGGGCACTTCAACCCTCACCCGACACCGGAAACAAAATGGGTCGGAAACACAAAAAATCAAAAGCCGACAAGGACCCTAACTTCTCCGGCGCTCACAAAAGACCGCATGGGACAAAATGGCGGCAGGTGAGGAAGATTATTCCTATTCCTCAGATGACTTCTCCATAGACCCCGGGTAAGGCGCAACTTGTGTCCCACTACTTACCTCAAAGCCCCAGCGCACCCCTACAGAAGAGCCAGTCACTGCCTCTGTACTTAAAAGCATGCTGGCAGAACTCAGAACAAATATAGCGGCCGACATGGCCTGCATTAAAGTGGCAGTAGAGGGGGTCACCACCAGGGTCACACAACTGGAAACCACGTCAAACACCCATGAATTCAGGATCAAGAACAAGCACTAACAGAAATGAGACAGCAGCAACAGGCATCCAACGACCGAATAAATACATTAGAAGGCCAGCGAAGACGTCACAATGTATAGATCCGTGGTATTCCGGACTCTATAAACCCCACAGACCTACTGCACTTTATCAGACGCCTGCTAGCGGACCTACTACCACCTAAACAGGCAAAAGCAGTACGACTAGATGGCATGTTCCGCCTACCAAAGCCTGCAACAGCGCCGACCACGGCACACACCGACCTAATACTCCGCTTTCAGACCTTGCAGGACAGAACCCTACTAATGGCGGCTGCACGCTGGAGAACACCACTGTCATTTGAGGGAGCTGTCCATATTCCGGGACCTGACCAAAAGCACTATGGGGTGGCGCAAGGCCATGCAACCCCTGCTACAACACCTCAGAAATAAGAATATCCAGTACAAATGGGGGTCTCCAAATATGATCACCTTTACCCATCAAGACACAATGTACCGAGCCAGGAGCTACCCTGAACTGGACTCACACCTACGCAATGCAGGCCTGCTGCCGCCCACTCACACAGAGGGGCCAGACCTCACCCGAGTGGACCCAACTACCATGGACGAATTCATCCCAGGAGCTCCCACTCGTCCAACGCACTAACGAAAGACCCCCTGAGGGACTACAACGAAAAGAACAAAAAAAAGATACCGCCACAACCCTCAAAAACTGCTAATACAGCAAATCTCCAGGATGTGACATCCAAACCAAGATGGATCCGCGCTTCTCCCTTATGGACTCCACTGTTGATACCCTCTAAGCTCCACACCAATCTATCCTTTGGTTTACCCAAGTTGACTTATTTATTTAATACTTTTTTTTCTTTTTTATATTGTGTCAAACCACATCTGTATAGACCTCATCGACTTAGCCTCCATACACCATCACACTGGTTAGAAATATTCCCGACGCCGAGGCACATAACCACTCACGGCCGGATTTACCACAGGCCAGACACCCATCAACGCTCCCACCCCCCCCCAGCCCGAATCATATAAACACTAACAGATGTACTCACACAAAGGGTTGGGGATCAAAGTATTTAATTTAAAGAGCATTGCATACTAGAATAGAAGAGTACGGTCGTAACATAGCAAAAGGCTTTGAAAAACACAGCGTTTCCTTACACTATAAAACTCACCATAATTGTGAAACAAAGGACACTATATTTTTAGGTATTAGATAAGTAGAGAGAGAGTGGAGAGGAGGGAATTTTGATGTTAAAATGAGTAAATATGAAATGGAATGGATCTTTAAATTAAATACTTTGATCCCCAATGGACTAAATGCAGATTTTGAAATGTGCCATTTTTTAAAATAAATATGAACTCCCTTTTTTATACTTATTTACTTCTCTCCCTTTTTAGGGTTAATTTTACTAGTATGCATAATACATTCTCTCCTGTAGAGGTTTTTAGTCATTTTGAGTATCCCTTGTAGATTCCACATTCTGTTAATTAAGTATTTTTATATCTTTCAATTTATAGTTGTATTAATATCTTTTTTTATATTTCAAGCATAATTTTTCATTTTATTCCCTTTTTTTTTTTTATCAGTTAGCACATATTTTAAATGCTATATCTGTACTCATATAATTACATTGGAAATATCAATATATAAGAATACATATTTTAATGGAAAGAAATTAGAAACAAAATATGCATTATATTAAAAAATCAGATCATGTATCACAATTTAGAAGTGTTTAACATATAAGAGCTGTTAATGTATGACATGCTGTTAAAAAAGAATACAAAAGAAAGAATTTGTACTCCTAGAAACGGAACACAGAGTAACATTCACTTAAAAGATTTGAAACTAAATATGAAGTAAAGGAATGACAACTAAACGTATAGATATAGAATACATTTTCCTTTATTTCTGTAATTGTACTGGGATTGTTATAAAATAAAATGCATTGATATGGAATTAATTTTCTTGTATTATCCCTGTAACTTTGCCGGTTCAGACACACTGTAGGGGAGATGAACCACAAGCTGGAACGCATGAATGTGACGTATCGGCACAAAATCACGAGACCGGAAGTGATGAACCGTCATAGACACCAGGAAGTAACAAAGGAGTGAGGCTTGAAACACTGGGCGTCACCGTTTCTATGGTGATGCCCACGAAATTACAAGCCAGAAAACAATCAGCCTACCCCTAAGAGGGGTATGTATAGCAGGAACCAGTTCAAGAGGAGACACAAAGACTTTTTTTCTACATTCAGCTGAGGAAGCCTTCAAGGCGAAACGCGTTCCTGGGAACATTGTGAGGAACAGACTTTGAAGTACTGGACTTTTATGCCTATATAGTGATATTTTATTATATATTTTTATATTTATATTTTATTGGAAATAGCACAATAAAGTTTATATATTTTTTATAATCACTATTGGCATTTTCCTGCTATTTGAAAAGAAGGATTGTGGTCCTTAACCATATACACTATTGGATCAAAGCCGATGTGGATGGCTCTGGGTTTGTAAATACCCTATTTACCTTACTCACCATAAGACACTTGATCTACGTTATTGCACCATATGCGCTCTCCCTTATCTATTATAGAATACAAGAGAGAGAAGAATCCATACTAAAGAAGGGAAAGGGTCGCCTTTACGGACCCCGAAATCGATTCTATTGAGCTATATATATCTAGCTCTTGTGGAATGTGTAAGAGAATTAGGTATAGGAAGGTCACTGGAAGCATACGCCATCTTGATTGTATCAATCAACCAACGAGAGAGAGAATTACGAGAGGCTCTTTCCACTTTAAAATTCCCTTGAAAATTGACAAACAGGTGATCAGATATTCTATAATTTACAAACACAAAGATAAAGCACCGCTTCGGTGGAAAGCAACATCACCTGGGCATGCATTCCACAGGCAGTCGCACAGCCTGTAGGGTCATGAAAGTCTAAAACCTACTCGGCTCAACATAAAATAGCTGAAAGGGCTCCGGGACCTCCATGGATGGAGCCAGCCTACCACCCGGGCGGCTATCGGGCTTCCTCCCCTAGACCTCAACTAGACGCTTGATCCGTCCCATGCTAGGACAAGGAAAAACTGAGGTGGGTTTGCCAGGGGAAGCCCTTTATGGGATAAACAGGTGGGACTTTTAATTAACTCCTATCTTGCAGATGCTTGTCCCAATTATGGAAGCAAAACCCACAGGTACTGCCACCATATGCCAGAAAAATACAGTTATTGCTACTGCACATAAAACAGATACACGTAATTCCTGGGACTTCAGACCTGATATTGGTTGCTCTGCGTCCCGAGTGAGTATCAAGCTGTATGATGTTGCAGGATAAGGTGAAGTTAAATGCGCTGCTGGATAAAGGATCTGGATGAGAGTTATGGGGAACATCTTCCAGACGCATTTCTTCACTCCGGCGGCTTTCTCAATGGATGTTTGCTGTCTCGTGCTTTGTTTTGCGGTGTGATTTGCAACTGTTATAAATACATATATGTTTCTCTAAAATTTATTTAACAGTACATACATGCTATGGTTAAACTGCTCAGTACAATGCAAAACAGTCGGATTCATAAAATTGATCATTTTAAACGTTATATGTTAATAAAATACAGAATTAACTGCGGGTTGCCATGGTAACTCCCGCGGAAAATGTTCGGTATACAGTAATATCATTAAACAAGAGAGGGATAAAGTGTGTTTATAAAAATAAGAGTCTTCAGTAGAAGGATTATATTGTGTGTCTTATTCTGATTGTACAGTCTATTATAGAAATAAAATAAAGGTGTATTATACATATGTTAAACGGATCGTATCGGCATTAAAATGAACATAAGAAGAGAATGGGATAAGGTCATGCATTTATTGCCCAGTGTATGTTGTGGCAGAATATTCTCTCAGTTTTAAGAGCACAAAGGTTGTGAGTACTTTTGGAGAACAGATGAATAATGTAGCATGCTTAAGGACAGACTATATATTCTTTATAGTAGGGTTCTCGTATGCAGGGCTCTCGTAGCTGCTCAACGTGTTTCGTCAATTAGACTTCTCCAGGAGATTTTTCCTGAAGAAGTCTAATAGATGAAACGCTTTGAGAAGCTACGAGAGCCCTGCATTGGTGGTACAGCAGTCTTTTATTCTGTCAGTATACCATTGTTATTTGTGTTTGAAGAGCGTCATTTGGTGACTTTTTGCACTCTGGCAGTTTTTTGCATTGGCACTTTTTAATATCTGCACAGTTATCTGTATAGTTAAAGCTGCTGTCCATAAGGGCTGTCTTGCCTTATTTGGCTTTTTAATATATAACTGTATTGCGATTTTGCACATTCTTGTGCACTATTGCTTATTTTATTTGAATATATTATCAATAAAGTGGATATTTTTCTTACATCCATTGTCCCTTCTATCCATGGGAATCTCCAGATTGAATGTAACTTTGTGACTGTGGCGCCCTGTTTTTTCCTGATTTATGATTCAGGATTTTGTGTTTCTTTTACAAACTTAGTTTAGGTTCAAAATTTCCACCATGCTCTACCCCTGTCATTATCATATAAGTGTGATTCTTCTTTTCGAACAATGATCAAATATAAAGAAAAAAATGTTCTTTATCTTTTATTACTTTTTAATTTATCAAGGGTGGATTATATTTTTGCTCTAGGAATCAGTGAATATGTTCACTCTCCAGACAATATATATTTTTACATCTATACTTAAAATGAAAAATCTTGTCCAGCTTGCTGAGTTAATTTCAGGTTAATTTTACTAAAGAATGACTTCTTGTGGAAAGGTTCTACCTGAGAAGACTGGACATGTTAATTTTCAGGGCCTGTGAAATGCTTGTTGAATTGTTTATGTGACCTAATCAATGAATTGTTTTGAAGCATATCCTTTTTCTTTGAGTTTGCGGTTAGAAGGAATTTTTACAGCCACCATTTTTGATTGTATTATCCAGTCTGTTAGTTTTAGCTTATTACTCTATAACTATTATTATTATTATTATCATCATTTTATTATTTATATAGCGATAGCAAATTCCATAGAGCTGTACAATGGGTGGACTAAAATACACATAATTATAACAGACAAATGGACGCACAGGAACAGATGTTGAGGGCCCTACTCAATGAGCTTACATGCTAGTAGGAGTGGGGTATAGTGACACAAAGGTTATAAGTAGGGGTAATGAAATAGGTTGCTAGAAAAGTATTCACTGAAAGCATAACTGCACATATATCTGAAAATTCTAGATATATGGTATAGAAAATGGAGAGCATGGTGAACAAACCCCTGATACATGCTATCAAAAACAATGTTGAAATCTTGAAAACACAGCAGAGGTGAAATAACTTCATTCTTAGACATCTTTGGACCTTGTTACTTGTATTGCTGTGCAATGTTGTTTTTAAAACAACATTTAAACAATATACTAATCACTAATTATTTACATGCTAGTAGGAGTGGGGTATAGTGA